GGATGCACCTGCAATGCATGCAGCCCAGTGCCAGCCACTAGGGTAATAAACTAAAGATAGTAACTCCATCCCAGCCTGGAAACGATAAAAGGGTGAGTGGTTGTGTATCTGCTTGTGTACAGTACTGTATGGACTTCGTCCGTACTTACTAGACTGTCTAACTGTCTAAACTACTCATACTACTACGGTAGTCTAGTCAGTCAGTGGTATCGGCTAGCGGCCCCCGGATCGACATACCAGGTTCTCTGCTCTCCTGATGCTGCCGGGCAATCTTGAGTCTCTTCCCTCCAGGCTTCCTTTCCCCCTCCCTCTTCGCCCCCTCCCCTTCCTTCCCCTTCCTCCGCGTTGAGGTTGGGACTGATTATAAAACTCACTTCACCCAGTCAAGCACAAAATAACGAGCATGTTTCGCCCTCCCTCCCAGTCCCAGCTCTTTCCAGCCTATCTGCATAAACCCCGCCATGGAAGGCAGCCGACTAGCAAACTAGCTTGCTTGCCACGGACCTCGGGGAAGTTACGGAGGAGACGAAGTGAACTTACTGTACTTATCTCAGCCAACTTAACGTTACGACTAGCACAATACGGCCATCCAGCACTAATTACCTAGTACTATACTATACCAGTTGCATTCTTGGATGGCTGGCTCCATTAGTATCCCGTCTGGAGCTTAATCAACACATAGCGTCGCCACCTCGACCTCGCTTCGCGTAACAAACCCAAGTGGTACGAGACAAGATGTTGGACAAACTACATATACTGAGCCTCCAGCACCATTCCCCATTCCCCATTCCCCATTCCCCAATCCCCAATCTCCACCCCGTCTTCTTCACCCTTTGATCTCCTCAAATCCTAAATCCTGAACCCTTGCCCACCCCCTTTATTCTCCAGGATCTGCTTCACTGCCTTCGATCTAGGATCTCTCACATTGGACCCTGGCCCAGATTCGACATATCATTCGTGACCCATCTTATTGCTGTAAGCCCACTCCTATCCCTCTCTTGCTTGCTCCAAACCCTCTGGTCTCCATCGTCTGGCATTTCCTTCCGAAGATCTTGTTCAAGATTCAGGAGATCACCGCTGGGACCCTGCAGTGACAGGGACTCCATTCCGAAAAGCATAGCTCGTCAGTCACTAATCTCTCAGTTGAAGCTGTCATCATGCATCTGTTGCATTCTGCGATTGCTGTCGCCTCCCTGGCCCTGCTTGCCAACGGACAGAACTCCTCCTACAATATCAATGTCAATGACATTCCAATCGATACGAGAAGTATGTCGTCACCTAGCTAACAAGGAGGACTATGCGATTGCCTGCGATACTGATCTTGTTACTTGGATAAGCTCAATGGTGTAAGGCTCAGACCTCATCATGCCCGCTCCTCTGTCTTCAATTGCCTGGAACGACGAGCCAGCCAAAGGAGAATACTTGCGATCCTGTGAGTGATACCCTTCTTTATGATTCTGCTGGCTGAGCACGTCTAACCACTTGGATCAATGCTCTCAGAAAACATTGTACTATGTCTGTGACTGCAGTAATGGCCTAAGCCCGAATTCTTCGCAATATTCTCAGACGATCCCGTACTTTTTGTGCACAGAAGAAAACAATGAGTGTGTCACCAACTGCAACGGCAATTCAATCTGCCAATCGGATTGCCGCAGCCAGCACCCTTGTGGTGCGCAGGACCCCAAGCGGGTGAATTCCACTTCGACATCGAACTCAACTCCAGCTGCTACTGCTGCTTCCACCACAACCTCACTGGCACCCTTCACTGGTGTGCCCGATGAGGGCGCAGCAGCCCGATCATCGACAGACATGATTCAGCTTTACGGTCTGGTGACTGTTGTGGGTGCATTCCTGGCCGGATTCACGACCTTGATCTAGATTCAACCTGCGCTACAGGGTCCCTGATACAGCCGCCGCCCTCGCCCCCGCCCGTCGCACTTCTGATAATGTGTGGGAATCCATTCGGCATCTTGGCGTAATATCTTAATATCTGTCAGCTTTCGATTCTTGTCGGACATCGGCTACTGCTTTTGCTTTGGTTCTTTGCTCAGTTCACGATGCAGCGAATTCCTCCTTTCTCTTGTGTAATGGTTGTGCTACCGTTTATGAGCTATCCTCTTCCATGATATAACAATGATGACCATTTATTTCTGATCCAGTCAAATCCAGCGCAGGTTAGAAATCATACTTCAGGAGTTGAACATTTCATTTCACAAGACTCGAAACCTGCCATAAGGTAGATTGGTTTAATCACAAAAACCACTTACGCTGGATGCTTGTGCTTAATCTCAATTCAGCCCATCAAGACAGTCCCCAGAACATGAGTACCGATTTGTAATCTCTTCAAGCAAGACAACTCAAAGCTAGCGAGTCAGTCATACTGAGCTAGGCTCGACATGCACCCTTTACACATCCTGCAAAGACCGCGCATTCTGCGATGAACAAGGCCAAGAGCAAGAAGAATAGAGCTGATACTATGGCGGTTGAAACATGGTGACAGCAAGATACAACGTTATCACAAGTATGTGGCTCCATCTTGGGTTACACACCGTCCTGTAGGACAGTGTCTTTCTTGAGAAGTCATGCCGAGCACTATGGTAACCTTCTACATACTTAGAACCGACTCGGGAGCTATACCCGGATGATTTCCTGAGGGTGTTGATCATGGTTACAAGGCGGTGGCCCGGGCGGTATGCAGCGGTGCTGATAAGTCGGGCCAAATGATGCCGCCATGCCGATGACCTGGTGGGAGAGAGGGCGAGGTTAGCTCACCTTCAACCACCCTCCACCACCAGCAGGAACGTTCATTTACCGTTCAGAAGACTCCTTTCCTGCCTTGAACTGTCTGATATCAAACTTATATGCTTTCATGGCGTATTGACAACAGCCTGTACCAATAATCTAGAATCACCTTCGCTCCAGCCTCCGAATCAGCTCGTTCCCCACTTCACCTACTGTCTCGCGACATTCGTTGCTGCCTCTATTGCCCTATTCTCCTCTCCCCGACGCACATTTTGGGCTCAAAACATCGTATCAGAGATATCTTCTGACTCTGGGCTTGCTTCATACTGTCTTGCTCGTCGGCAGCAGTGCTGACGACGTGTTGGAGGGATGGATTACTTACCAACGGATGGGCATATCGAGCCCTCGGCCGCGTACACGGGCCAAGGGCCGGGTGGTGGTAATGTTGACTTGGACAGCATCAGCGGAGCCTCGCTGGGCTTGAATATCAGGGTCGAAGGTAAGAACCACCCCTTCCCAGTGCGTATGTGCTCGTTTGAACGCTAACCATGAGCCTTCACGCCCAAGATCCTCCGAAGTTTGAACTGGAATCATACATCGCGAATTATACTGGTAGGCAAATACTGCTCTGCGCTCGGCTCATCGTCATCAAAGCTGACCGGCATTTCGGCGCCAGGCCGGACTAGGTACAATCGACTATATGTCATCGGCACATGTTCAACATATCTAGCCGTCGAGGCACTCAAAGCCGCAATTGCCGAAGCCAAAAGTGGCAAAGATGTCACCAGATACGAACGAGCGGTGCGGGCTCTCGCAGAGGTGGCGCCAAATGATCCCGAGGCTACACTTGACACGCACTGGGTGGACCACATGCAAAAGGTCGTCAAGGCTGAAACAGACAGGTTAGAGCATGAACTCAAGGGCTACAAGAACAACCTGATTAAAGAAAGTATACGGGTAAGGATGGCTGCCCCTCGCCGTTGAGGATTCTAAGAGGAGTAGCCATACATGGCTAACCTGTGTACTATAGATGGGCAATGAAGATTTGGGCCAGCACTATTACCTCATCGGCGATCTTACATCGGCATCCAAGGCATATTCTCGTATGCGAGATTACTGCACAACCCCGACGCATATCATTTCGATGCTGTTCAAGATCATCAATGTGGCGATCGAGCGAGGCGACTGGTTGAGCGTGCAGTCCAACGTTCACCGATTACGCAACCTGCAATCGAAACAGGACGAACAGTCCAAGGTTCAGCCTAAGCTGTCCACCGCGTTGGGCCTCTCACAGCTGCACTCAGGGTCTTACCTGGATGCAGCCAACAGCTTCCTCAACACGGACCCGGGCCTCGGCGATTCGTACACGGAGGTGCTCACCTCCAACGACGTGGCCGTGTACGGTGGGCTCTGCGCTTTGGCGTCGATGGACCGCCACGAGCTCCAGCAGCGCGTCCTCGACAACAACTCCTTCCGCAACTTCCTAGAGCTGGAGCCCCAGATCCGCCGCGCGATCGCCTTCTTCTGTAACTCCAAATTCCGCTCCTGCTTGGAGATCCTCGAGGCCTATAGGGCGGATTACCTGCTCGACATCCACCTACAACGCCACGTTCACACCCTCTTCACTCGCATCCGCACCAAGTCCATCCAGCAATACCTCATTCCGTTCAACCGCGTCACCCTGGATTCCATGTCGAAGATGTTCGCCCCCGGCACCCTGACCGAAACCGCCAGCGGTGGCGGCAGCGGCAGCGGCGGCCAGCAGCAGAGCGACGCGGACATGGACCTCAGCCACCCTTTCGTGCAGGAGCTGGTCACGCTAATCCAGGATGGCACGCTGGACGCCCGCATCGATCTGGAGAAGAAGGTGCTGGTCGCCAACCAGGTCGACCTCCGAACCGAGTTGCAGGAAACCGTTCTCAATGATCTAGAGGATTATCTGCAAGAGGCACACATCCGCTTGTTGCGCACCAACATCATTCGGGCTGGGTTGGAGGTCCGGGCCGACGACAAGCCCAGGGAAATGCGTGGTAAGAGGTCCGACGGGTTTGGGTCCGCCACCTTGTCTCGGGGCGCGGGGTTGTTCCAATGAAAGCCGTGATTTTGGAGGGGTGGGCGCGTATGTAGCAAATAGTCATCACCTAAGCCAAGTAGTCAGTGGTGCTACATCACTTGTACTATTCTCTCTCTGCACGGGTTTTTGTAATCTTTTCTCGGAAGTTGCGACATAGTGTCCTTTGCAGTGTGACTCTCAGCCCCTTCTTCCCCCCGTGTAGTGGAGATTAATGGCAAATAGTGGTAATGACATTATTCTAAAGAGTAAGCGCACAAAGTGACATTGTACATGAACAATAGGTAGCGTCATCCTCTCCTTCCCCTCCCTCCTTCCCAACTCAGCAAGCTCGGCTCTTTGCATAATCTTCAGATCCTTCCCGAATGAATACAAGTCTCTATAGAAACACTGACCGGTCATAGGTCATGGGCTATAAATTGAACCGGAAAGGGGCATCGACCAAGAGTGTGGAGTGGAGCGTGGCTTAAGCCATGGCCAAGGCTAGCATCATGGCGGCACCTCCGGCAACCCAGCTGCTGGTGGCCAAGGGCAGGGCACCGTTGTCGGTGCTGCTGGCGCTAGCACTAGCAGCAGCGGTGCTGGAGCCGGAGGCATCGGAGGAGCCGGAAGTCGACTTGGCGGACGAAGAGTCAGTGGACTTGCCTGAAGCAGAGCCAGTGCCGGAGGCGGTGGCAGTGGCGGCGGCGCCGGACGAGGAACCAGTAGCGGAGGCAGAGGTAGAACCGGTGATGGTGATAGGGATGGCGGTCAGGGGAGTGGTGTAGATGGCGGAGGAGGAGCTGGGGCCCTCGGAGTCGCTGGCGCTGGTGGTGCAGCTCAAGTAGGTGGTACCAGTGCGAGTACAGCCTTGGGAGTAGGTACTTGAATACAGTGTTAGCAACAAGAAAGCTTGGTGTATAGAGCAAGAAGGGTCACATACGTTCCGCGGTAAGACAAGCCCATGCCGTAGGTGGAGCTGCCCACCGTGAGGGTGTAGGTGTCGTCCTCAATGTCGCAGCTACTGTCGTCGTCATCGGAGGTGGCAGTAGCAGCGCTAGCAGAGGAAGTCGTAGAAGCACAGCCCAGAACAAGAGTAGTGAGACTACCACCAGTCTATCTACAGTCAGATACGTTCTGGGTAACCGAGGCACAGCGAATGCATCTGAAGGGATTTCATGACATACAGTTCCAATCACTTTTCCGGCGAGACCAACATCATCAGTGTCGGGCAAATAGACGTTGATAATGTCATCCGCAACAACGGCCGTAACGGAGGCCAACAGGGCCAGCGAGGAAGCAATCTGGAAACGCATGGTGGCTGTGGATTGGAGATATGAATTCCGAAAGAGTGTTATAGGGCAGAAGGAAGGGGGAAATCAAGATATTTTATAGGCAAGCAACGGTATACAAGATGCTCTTTGGGTGCAAGCTTCAGGAGAAAGGAGAACGACCGTATGTGCAATCGGAATGCTGAGTATGGAAAGGGAATTGTTGGGGGCGAAAAGGCGCGCGAGGGCCGTTTCTTATAGATTTGTCCCAACTGGTTCCCTCTCGCTGGTGCGACAAGGGCTGAGCCTCGTCGAGGGCTGTTGTGAACTGGTTGGGGATGGCATGCGATGTTTGCAACAGAACGAGACCCTCTCATTTGGGGGCGGCAATCCTCGTGGGAGGTTCAGCTCACTGGTCGGACCCTGGCCGATCGCCAATTTTGGCGTGGAGCCATGAAAGCCATGAAAGCCATGAAAGCCATAAGGCGATTAGAGTTGGTTCGACGTGATCCGATTTTCCGATGCGCGAAATGTTGTCTCAATTTAGCCGCATGGGGACGTCCAGACGAGCAAACAAATGATCGATTAGGGAAGTTTTAGCACAAACTAATGAACTAATGAACGATGAGCTTCCATGATTGATGGTACTGGAAGAATAGACGACTGAAGTCAGTTTGTTGTCCACCGTTAGAGAAGCCGGCAAGAAGTGAACTGCCAGGAACTAAGCAGCCACTAAGTGCCCACTAACACCGGGCGCGCATTTGGGGGCTGAAACCATCATTTCACGAGACTCGCGCATGAATCGGACCCCTGCTTGTCAAGTGGGCTGAGGCACTCAGCCTTCATGTTTGCGGCTCATGTGTAAGCACTAGAGAGTAAGAATCAATCAATTCTCTTCCAAGTATCCATTGCGGACAAAGAAAGTTCCCTGGAGGAAAAAGGGCTTGTGGGTCGAGTCGCTGAGAGGTCCGTCCTGGACTCCAGCAGGACCAGCACTCCCCGCTCAACCAAAATAGAGAAAATGAGGGAAAATGAGATCGTCGCAGCCCCATACTTTCACTGCCCAAGCTCCATTTGCCGCCGCCATCACCGCCATCACCGCCAAATCTAACTCGAGCCGTCAACTCCGACTCCCAAATTTCCAACCAACCATCTCAGTTGCTAGCCTAGCGGGTTTTCGAGTGCTTAACAACCCCACAGGCTATTCCCGCCAAGATTAAGAATCCATTGAAGCTTGCCAGGATGTAGAACGGAGCCCCCGACGAGAGGACATCGAATAGTAATCCTCCGACTTTGGTCAGGACCAAAATGCCTGCGCCGCCATACAGGGAATACACTCCAGCGATGGAACCTTTCAGGTGCGCCAGGGGCTTCTGGTTTCGTTCCGTAGCTGAAGTCAACAGAGCCTGCTCCTCTTGGTCCCCTTCAGTCTCATCGGCCGACACCAGGTCGTCGTCGGTCTCCTCGCCATAGAGAGTGGATGGAGAAGAACCATATCCATCTCCTACCCGGCATTGAGAACCCATAAGGAGTATTCCGGTGCTAAGGACAGACAAGCTGCAGACGATGGCCCCAATCTGACTGAGTCCAAGGAGCGCCATCACAACGAAGACGCCAGGACTACCGTGGGGCTCTCTGAAGTCCGGACTGGGAAGCACCGCAAATGTGATATAGCCGACCACCCCTGCCACACATGCCCCTAGCAGGGGCATCGGATATTGTCGCGACCGCTCTGACATATACCCAAAAATCGGCGCCGCCACCAACGCGATGAGCTGAGAAACACCGGTCAGAATTGAAGCCAGCACATAAGCTTTACGGCATGATTGCTTGACAGCATCGGAGCCCATTCCATCCCCGTTATTGCCCTGGCATAAATCAGACTGTCGATAATAGTGGTTGACCGCTAGGGGAATGAATAACGAGATTCCGACAGATGATGCCCGAGCCACGAAACCGCCCACATAGCCAAGGAAAATGTCGCTATTATGGAATCCTAGCATCAGCGCAGCGCCAAGCTGCTGGAAGTACGGCAAGTGTCGCTTGCTATAATCGGTATTTCGGTCGTCACTCGCACAAGTGTCCTCCGGCCTTTCCCGTCGGCCCCGAGCCCACAAAGAGCTCCAGGCTTTGCCTTCTTCCCCGGGAAGGTGCCTCAACCCTACAGAACAGAGGACAGCAACCGACAGAGACACGATCGCAACAACATAGTAGCTATATTGAATGGATTGTGGTGGTGAGACTCCCCGCTGCTGAAGTCGAGATGGCAGAGGTAGGAAGACAACGAGGGCGACTAGTGCACCGCTTCCAGCACACATTCCAACATATCCAGCTAGCTTGGAGGACGGCGTTTTCTCAGCCACACGACTCAATGCGGTGGGCTGTGACTGTGATGGAGATCCGACCACAGCTGGAAGCACGGCCGTGACCATGGTCGATACCGCTGCGCCTCCAAGACTGAAGAGTAAACGTCCTAAGAGAAGCTGAGGATAAACATTCTTCGCTTGAACAAACACGAGCAACGCGATGGCGATGATTCCATAACCAGTCACGCAAACCTAAACCAAATACATGTGAGTAATTGTAGTAGTGCGCTCCTAGGAAGAAACGATGAAGTTATAGGAGCACCATGAAAGAACACTCACATTACGGACTCCAATTCGATCTGAGAGCACTCCCCAGAGGGGACAAGCAATCAAGGCAAGTAGTTCATCTGCGAATCCCAAAGTCCCAACAGCATCGCCTTCTCCCGCATCAAGGCCAAGAAGTTCCGTGACCACGAAGGAAACGGACGAATTGAGAAAAACTAGAAATGCAATTGAAAAGGGGCAAACTCCAAACAAATATGTGCATATTTGCAACCGGTTGGCGGTAAAAATAGGTGTTCGTCGAGATGCCATCCTAGCCATGGTTCCAAAGCATGTCTCGAGAGATCAGAGTGGTGGATTGTTTGTAGTACTACTCAGACGAGCATCAAGGGCAACCTCGTTTTCGTCTTAACGACGCACATAGACATATACACACAGTCGTTCTCTGTGGTTATCAGTCCTCTGCTTCAAAGCCCGGTTCTCTGCGGTCAAAATCTGCCACCGTTGTCTGTAAAGGTCTGTGAAACGTTGGACATAGACTCTGACTTGATAGACCGGTCTGGTGGTGGTGCTACTCCGGAATGTCTCGCAATCAGTCACATGACCACGCGTCAGCCCGGTGGAGCGGTGGTCGGTGTTCCAGAGATAAAGGACAGGTGAGGTGGAGCAGGAGTCTGTCTCTTCAGAGTTCAGACTTAATACTCAGTGTCACATGTGCCTTCCAATTGAAGACGTAAATACAAATCAAGTCCACGATTGACACCAAAGACGCAAGCTGCCATAAGTATGCATGCGTTCATACAGGACTGATTTTACTACATGTGTACTATCCAAGTCATGATGATAATTAATGACGAAATAAGACCGTGGTCGCCAACTAAATCGTTAGTCAGCCGCCGCTCAATTCACTCTAACTCACTAACTAATCTTGAGGTTGACGCAAGGCGGTGACGGCAGATTGTCAACTGGCATCATCATCGAGCGCGGGCGGAATGACTGCCGATTGCTCCAGCTGTCCAGAACTAAGTACTGCCTCCCCCATTTTCTCCCCTCCCACGGCCCTTCCCCTCCTCCATCCTCGCATAGTTCAACCAATGTCCTTCTAAATTTCGCACTGTCAATCTTTCGCCTTGTGTCCTTGCCAATGACTGGGAGCTTGTCGTCCATACCCGTCAATTCCTGGCTATGAGGTTCGCCGTCTACGCCGGGGTAAGTTAGCTCTGTTCCCATAATGTTGGCAGTTTGTGCTCAGGCTGATCCGCTTGAATCGCAACCACAAATAGGCTTCGACTGCCCTGGCCACCGGTGTGTTTCTGAAAGCGCTACATCAAAGGGCCAACTTCTATGCCGCATGTGTATATCTCTCTCAAAGTAGCGCAAATCTTATGGTATGACTTCTGCCCTCCATTCCCAGGCTGCATGGTTGGTCACGTTGCGTCCCTAAGCGCACCGGGAAATCCGTCATTGCGATTCTGTGCAGACTGGGCTAATCGATCTTTCCAGATTTTGATGAACGTATGCCTTCTAGCCGTTGGATTCTTCATCTTTTGGTTCCAACGTCTCCTTTATGGACCGCTCCGACCCATCGAGACCGAACAGCTATATGAGAAAGCATGGTTCGCTGTCACTGAAACGTGTCTGGCGATGACGATCTTTCGTGGAGAGCTGGGAGGGTGGTTTCTGGTCATGTTCGTTTCTCTTCTCGTTGGCAAGGTCTGGGGCTGGATCGGGGAGGGCCGCGTAGAATACCTCGAACAGCAGCCGCCTGCGAATCCACGCCTGTTCCACTTCCGGCTCGCTCTGTCCTTACTTATATCAGTCCTGTTCAATGTGTTCATGCTGAGTTACTGCGTTCAGACGGTTCTTGAACAAGCACGACCCGACATGATGGTCATGTTCGGCTTCGAGTTCGCTGTCCTGACCATTCTGTCAAGCTCAACCGCCGCCCGATATTCCATATCTTTGGTTGAACTCTACGTTACCCACCGGCAGTTGAAGGCCAGATTGGAAGAACGCCGTCAAGAGATTCGAGCTGCGCGGGACGAGGCCCTGCGACAACAGGCCGAGTCTGCAGAGACAAGCACCTTGCCTGGCCTAGCGGATGAAAACGACGTCAACGAGATGGAGTTGGACGTGCCAGGGTGGGAAGAAAAAGGCCGGTGGATTTTTTACCTTGACCTCCTGACAGACTTCCTCAAACTTACGGTGTACCTGACATTCTTCGCCATTTTGTTCACCTTCTACGGTCTGCCCATTCATATATTACGCGATGTAGTTGTTACGATCCGGTCGTTCGGACGCCGCATCGTGGACTTTGTCCGGTATCGTAACGCGACACGTGACATGAACGAGCGCTATCCTGATGCTAGCGCTGAGGAGGTCGCTCGGGAGGAAGTGTGCATCATCTGCCGCGAGGAGATGACCCAGTGGCACCGGGCTGGGGAAAGAGGTGAAGGTGCACAACAGCAAGGTCGGGTATCTGACCGCCTTCGTCCGAAGAAGCTCCCTTGTGGCCACATCTTACATTTTGCTTGTCTTCGCAGCTGGCTCGAAAGGCAGCAGAATTGCCCGACTTGTCGACGCCCGGTCGTTGCTCCACCTCAGCCACGGGGGCACGGCGACGCTGGCAACCGCAACCCCGGGGGCGACGCTGGCGGGCAGCAGAATCAGCCTTTTGGTAATCAACCATTCGGTCGGAATGCGCCAGTGGAGGGATTACCGCGAGCCCGAATTTATCAATTCGGACCTTTCCGAATCGGCTTTGGTGCAGGAAGAGGCGATCTTTTTCGCAATCTTCAGCAGCAAATTCACCAGGGAAATGTACCAATGCAGCAGCCAAATGATGCTATTGCGCCTAATGCTCGACAGATAGGGTTCGGACTCGGGTTCGGGCAACCGCCAGCGACTCCAACAGTTCCAAACCCGGCTTCGAGTGTGGCTCACGTACATAATCAATTGCAGCAAGTGGAACAGCAGATCCTGCAAGAGATCAGCAGCCTACGTGTCACAGCTCAGCAACTTCAACTTGTGCGAATGCTGCAAATGGAACTTCAGCGGCTCCGCGGCCTCTCGGCTGAATCTATTGGATCTCAACCGGGTCTCTCAAGTTCTGCATTGTCAAATTCGGTGACGTCCACAGCCGAGCGTCATCGGTTCGTGTCGGATCATGAAACACCTGCCATGAAGGCTGGGGACTCCCGACTCCCAGAGGGATTAATTCTTCCCGAAGGCTGGTCTCTAACACCTCTATACTCACCTGGTCAAGAATCTATACCAGTGGGTAACCCCTCCGTTCCTACTACTGCTTCCGAGACAATCATACCCCCCGCACATCCCATGACCGAAAATGAATCCAACAATTCAAGTTCGGTCCAAGAGACCGCGGCTGTTCCAGGCCCCTCCGTACCTCAGGATCTGCCAAACTGGCAATCTGCCTCGACTCCTGCAGCAACTCAGACTGGTATCGAGTCACTGTCCCAGCAATGGACCGACCTGGCCTCCGAGACACAAGCTGACGATACGGAGCGTTCCGAACGTGAGCAGGGGTCGGAATCGTCGTCGGAATCGCCATCAAGGGGAAAGGCGCGGGTCGCGACAGTAGAGGATGTACTCGATGACGATGAAGTGTGATAGATAGATACTTACTCCCCTCTCCCACTTCATGACCTCTTCCATATGTCACCCAGTACATTTCCATCATACCAAATCTACTCTGTTCTTGGCTTATGTATCATCACAATGGTGTTGTCAACACTCCCCCCCCCCCCCTTCCCAATCCTTCTCCATAGGATGTCCTTGTTTTCTGGCGTTTTCGAAGCGACTCATATTCATACCCAGCTACCTCTCAGTTCCAAATTTTGGCCATATGCCTCCTCTCGGAGTCCTCCTTATGTTTCACTGCTCGTACCCTGGCACATGATTCTTTTTTTGGTATGTACAGATCCGGGATAAAGTATTTGTGCAATTAACATTGCTTTACTAGTAATTAGTACCATTCATTGTGTGCGGGTCTTCGAATTCCTGCATTCTGCCTCTTTTATACTTCGTAGACGACGATCGACAATGTTGGAATAAAGGTGGAGACTGCAAGGTGCAGCTGCACCCTGTGGTTCGGACGGCAATTGGTCGGAGGAGAAATCGCTGCCTCGCATCTAGACTTCCGTCGAAGGGATTGTGTATTACAATACTGTACATAAGTTACCCACCTATGTACAGAATATCAGACTTCATAGGTACTGTAGTAACTGATAAGTTGACGTGCTACTATGATTTAAGGAACCGAGTTCTACCAACGGAGTGAGGAGCTCATACATGTATGGAGTCAATGCGACGCGACTGACTTGTGCCGATCTGGGGAGGAAAGAAGAGGGTTCAATCGTTTAGCGGTGCGGTAAGTTACGGAGTACTGTACACTACTATACCCAGTCTCATCGTCAGCCCCAATTATTGCTGACGCCAGCTCCGCCTCCGCCCGCCCGCTCTTCTGCGCCATCATTTGCGTATGCATACCCTCAGGGCTCGTTCTTCCAGCCTGGAGCCCCGGTTTCATGTTCCATTCTGCGTCCAACCCACCAATCCTCGTTCATGTATGCAGTGACCACCTCCGCGGTCGCCTGATTGTCTTGGTGTCGTCTTACATTACTTTATTCTTAGACTACCATAATAATCTTGTTTCACCCTCCCTGGCTCATGGGCCATTTTCGTTGAAGTACGAAGAAGTCTGTTGCGAGACATTTCCCCCCTCGTACAGTCCATACCGCCCTGCCAGCTTCTCGCCACTCCCTGCGATCGCGGGGACTGTTTCTCACCAATTCTGAGTTCTTGACCACAACATACTTTTATTCAAGGCTCTGATCCATGGCTATTATCTTTATCGTGTAGCCTTTCGGCCTTTCTTGTGAGTAAGAGTGCGGACCCCGGTGCCTGTCTGCATGGTCTGGAACCAACTCAGGCACCAAAAGCTTAAAACATATCCGTCCGACGCCTTCTGCCTTCTCCAATAATACTTATTGACAAGCCTCCCAGTGTCGCATTGTCCTAGTATTTTCTCCCCTTTCCTACTAGTTCCCATTCTGTGATCGTGATCGATGATCTCCTCACGCCGCATTGCGCCCCTTCTCGGCTTCGCCTTTATCCTCTCGGCCCTGTTCGCCTTCTACACTCTCTCCGCACAATGGGAGCCAATTCCGCAACCCGCTGGCTTGAACAGGCCGGTCGCGACACCCTCGCCCACACCATCCTTGCGCTATAATCTCACCCGGGTGTCTGAAGAATTTCCCACGCGGACGCCATACGCCGCCAAACCACGCTTTGCCCCTGGTGTTCCTAAAGCGCCTGGCGCGACGTACAGCAAGATACTAGTTGTGCCTCAGGCAGACGGGGAGGACACTACCTGGATCGAGTTTGAATTGCCAGACTGGCAGTCGGCCGTTTACGTCGTAAATGATCCGTCGGCACCTTTGCATCCGCCCAAAAACAAAGGACATGAGGTGATGGTCTATCTAAGCTATATCATCGAGCACTACGAAAACCTCCCAGACATCATTGCGTTCATGCATTCGCATCAATTCGCATGGCACAACGATGACCTCTTCAACGGCGATGCATCTGAGTTGCTGCGACGTCTGAACCCGGCCTGGGTTATCAGGCAGGGTTATGTAAATTTGCGCTGCACTTGGAGCCCCGGTTGTCCGGATTGGCTGCACCCTGGCACCTTAGTTGAGGATCAAACCAAACAGGAGGAGGTCATGCTTGCTCGGGCCTGGGGCGAGATCTTCCCCGATGACCCGATTCCCGAAGTCCTATCCCAGCCCTGCTGTGCTCAATTCGCCGTTTCCCGCGAGCGCATCTTAGCCATCCCCCGAGCTCGATTCGTGTATTTCCGCGATTGGATGCTCCGGACTGAGCTTAGTGACTACATCTCCGGTCGCATTTGGGAGTATCTGTGGCAGGTCGTTTTCACCGGCGAGAATGTTGTTTGTGTCAAGGAACATATCTGCTACTGCGATGGATTTGGGATCTGCTTCGGCGGTGAAGACGAGTATAATGATTTCCGCGACCATAATACAGCTAAATCCGAATTAGAGGAGGCACTTCAGGGATGGTCTGTAAGGGCAGACTTAATTGAACTCACTCGGATGCATGGGCATCTAGGCGAAGAAAGCCAATTAGACTTTCCCGAGCCTGGAAAGGAGATCACTCTGGAAGAACAGCTTGAGCTCGAAGAAGCACTGATCCTCGAGCTATTCGTCAATGCCACCGACCGAGGCCAGGATCCTAGAGCCCGAGCTGCGGAGGTCGGGAGAATGTGGAAAGAGGGAGATGGTTTCTAATTTGACACATACTCGGCATGTTGATGCTGTCATCACCCGCATCACCCTTGGTGCGCGGTTCATTACGTGCTGACATGGATACGATAATCTGCTCTTCATTTATTTTGACATTTTTTGACTGATGTGGTTCTGGGATACTGGCGAATCATGTTAGATAGTTAGCGTGTTGTTCCAATACTTGTATAATCGGCGCCAATTGATCTGTGCACCTGGGCTGGCTCCAGATTGCCAGATCCGCAAAAGGAGTATCTTCAGCAGACAGAATGAACTTCTCCTAAGGTTGAGCGAGCATGCAATGATAAATGGACGGATAAGTGTCATACATATGGCGACTAGTAGTACGTAGCATAGTGACGGTATATGAGAGAGAGTCAGGTGATCTTCGATGCTCCACCCCCACGCTAACTCGGAGCGGCAGTCGCGAGGGCCTCCGTCCATCGTTCCCTGCAGAGTTTGCACTGTCTGTCCTTCCTTCAAACCAGCCAAACAGCGTCATCCTTCCGGATAGCTTCATCGATCATCGCGAGTCGCGCACGCTTAAAGTCCAGTGGGAGCTGAGCTTCCCATTCATTTGACGGGTCCGTGGGTATAAGCGCGCTATTGGGCTGCCACCACTACCCTCAGGGCTAAGCTTGCCCGCAAGGGTCTCCTTAAAATTCAGATCCTCCTAACATAATACCCAGGACGCTGCGCGTGTCCACGCTCCGGTTGTATTGATACTGGATCCTTATGGTTTTGCTCCCATAATCTTAGCATTCAACTATATCACGGCCCGCTTTCTTCGAAGCAAACTGCGACAAGAAAATACGAGGCTGTGTATGCATCATCGTCTTCATCGTCTCCAATCCATCAAGTCACCAGCGCACGCCTTTCGCTCTTGCCTACGGATCTTTGCTACAGTTCGTGTGATAAGTTGTCGCCCAAGGAACTCAACCAATACAGTTCTGTCGGACAGGCTTTGTGAGCCCACAGCGGCAAATATAATTACGCTCTTTATATGCCATCATGACTTCGGCATCCACGCCAAACCACCATCAGCCGTCAACGTCGGCGGCCGAATTTCCAGCAACCTCAACCACAGCGTCGAATGTCGACCCAAACACGCACCTTGCAACAAGTGGGTATGCGCCTAGTGAAAATCAATTAGCTGGGTTGGTGGAGGCTGCCACAGCGGCTGCAGGACAAGACGTCTCGGAATGGGCTGCGGCCGCTGCAGTCGCCGCTGCAGCTGGGGCGGCTGGGAATACACATCACCTAGAGGGCTATGGGCCGGACATACATATGGATGATGACAGCTTTGCAGACACAAGTTTTACCGCTGGGATCAATGGCGGACGGGCTCTGCGAGGACCCGGATCAGCTCCGGTGAATGAACACGCTCAAACCTCTGGGTTGACCCGAGTTGGCACGAAGAAGAGGAAGAGAAACGAAGATGCGCTTGATCCCGCATTGACAGGAGGGGGCCATGTCGGCCTAGCAGGGGACCAGCAATCACACCACCATAGTCACCACCCACAACAACAGCAGCAACAGCAGCAACATCCGCATCATTACGGTGGTGATGGGCTAGATCTTCGAGGCGCCCCGCCACAATCACTATCTGAAGCTCGGGCGGTGGGCTTGCACTCGGCAGCCGCTCTCTTTCGCCAGCCCTCCAGCAACAAGAAATACACTCGTCCACCCATGTCCAAATTGTTCTCCTCCCTCGAGCTTTCTCCAGAAAACTTTTTGCATCTTCAGGCAGCAGCTAAAGCTTACATGCTTGATGATCGTCATCCTGAACGCCGTGACTGTGTAGGTCAACGCGGCAAGGGGGATACAGAGATGGTCAAGCTGCGGCTATGGAACTGCGTACGTCATTTTCTCGAGGGTGAGGGTCATGGCGAGCGGTTCTTTGGAGAAGATGTGGTCAATGAAGGCATGGGGCCCAGGGCATACATCTGGCCTCGGGATCAACAGAAAATTATTTCACTGGTGATACCCTTGTTGCGGCGAATGGTAACGAACGAGCGACAGCGTCAGTATGCTGTCGAGACGAGGAAAGGCGGCGGAGCCGAGGAGCGACGGCGACGGAAGACCGAGGACAGCCTGCAAAACTTCAATGCGCACACGCCAACTGAGGACCATCTACAACTTCATTCTCAGCATCAGCAACAGCAACAGCAACATCATCAGATTCACGATGATTATACTGCAATGCAGACCCCGATGTCAGCGTCGCAGCCACCCATGGGTTCCACCTCGCAGGCCGTGGATTTGGGCCTAACAGAGCTTCTGCTTGACGGATACACAACCGACTGGAATGCATTCGCTAAGTCCTATGACAATTACAACCAGAACTGCGAACTCGACAATCTCTGGTATTTGTCGGGCCTACAGCAACCGGACTGGCGGGGCTTGGTGGCTGCCGTCGATAGCCATTATCAAGTCATCCACAATGGTGGCTATGAATGTCCTCCACAGTGTGAAGATGACAATATACAACGTATATTAGAGGCTAATGTTACTTCCGACTTACGGTGGCGGATTGGTGGTAATATTCCACAGCCCGCGAGGAACGAATTGTACGTCGCCCGACGCGTCTCACTTCTTTCATTATCGCACCATGCTAACAGGTGTCCACAGTGCAAGTAGCATTACTCGCGACGTCTCGCGCATCATCCGCGACAATCTTGCTGTGAAGCACGAACCGCATGCTACATCCCACGATCAGACGTCTGTGTCACAACCTCAGCACTTCCCGCCCTCCAATTTACCACCGATCCCTGGAGCTGCCTCTGCCGCCAGCAATGTCAGGCCACCTTCGTCGCCCATGTCTGTCTCTCTCCGTATCAATCTTATCCAGGACGGCAAGCGCACACATTCCCGACTTGATCTGCCTGGCAGCCAGTGCCCTGACCTCGAGACGCTCAAGCAAGTGATCTCCCGCCGGTTTTCGGGTCATCTGCCGGGATTATCATCTGAGCCAGGCTTGGACTCCGCTAGCGGCTGGGTCGCAGGGATCAACTGGAAGTTCAAGGTATGGCTACCAGATGGATTAGCAACGGTACAAAATGACGGCGACTGGACCATTGCACTCCTGTCCGCGGGAAATGTGGATTGGATGGACGGCGACCTGAGAGTCTTGGTTGAATTTGAGGAAGCATCTTGATAGCAGGTATGTTTGCCTGTCTAACGACCTGTTATGATTTGACGCGCATCAATTTTCTGCAAGGAACATTTGCTGCTGGTGAAGCTGGGTGGGTTTCATTTTTCATGGCCTCGCATTCATACCCTCTTATGCTGCTTTTACGGACATGAGACACGATGATTTTCTCTATAGATATCAGTGGGTAAATAGTGTATACTCGCAGTGCTCTTGATAATCATAATACTGATGACATTTAAGTCTAGCAGCTCTTCTACCTGTAGATAATTAGGTTTGAGGTGTTTAATCAATACGGAATACACAGATAAAGTTTTAAAATGTATTATTAGTCAAAACTTGAGGTTTCTCTCGCTTACTCACCCATTACTAGCGACCAATCTAACGTAGGTGCCCATTGGTACATTGAGTCAACAACCCGAATATGTAAACATCGAGTATCAGGCATCAACCAGCAAGTGCCAGTAGCTCCAACTATCCATTTTCACCCCAGAGCCACTACGGGAGCACACCCATTAGTCTCTGTGAACGCGACGACGACGACGACGACCACCACCCCCACAATGGCTCCCGGTGAAGCAGATCTCGAAATACTTCTTTCCAAACTCGAGCCCATCCTCCATCCGGACACATTCGTCTTCCTCACACTTCTCAACACACCAGTCTCTGCGGCGAGCCAAGATGTGCAAGCACTACAGCCACAACTTCTCTTCCAGGAGGCAGAAGGTACCACACTCGTCATCGTGCGCGAGAAGGCCATCGCGCACGGCTTCACCGACTACGTGTTTCCGTGTCGGATGATCTCCCTCAGCGTGCACTCGAGTCTTGAGGCAGTGGGTCTAATCGCTACCATTAGCGCACGACTCCGCGATGCCGGGGTCAGTGCCAATGTGGTCAGTGGGTTTTACCATGATCATGTCTTCGTGCCGGAGGGCAAGGAGGAAGTTACGATGCAGGTTATTGGAGGGATGTCGCGGGGTGATCGTGATTGATTGATGTGGTAGGCTTTGGGGGTGGGGTTAGCTAGAGTTTGATGCTTTCACCTTGAAAGGGAATATGTGCTGTGTACACTACTAAGCAGTAGACACGTTATGTTGTTGCTAATTTGTGCTGACTACGATAAACATGATTGGTTAGGGAACTAGGTTGAAGGTGAGTGTGAGTCATGAGAGGGGTCTGAGGTTTTGTGAATCCATGACTCCAATATTTAATTTATTCCTGTAGTGCATGTTCTTTGTCCGAGTCAGGAATTCTAGATTATACGGCTTACTTGACTCTCCCAGCTGGAATCTGCAGCGGTAATAACACGATTTATGCATGGCTTGGAAGGAACATATACCATAGTTCCAATATGACACTCGCCACCCCACCGCCCAGCCTTGTTGTACGAATCGAGCAGGCAGAGGAGACACACGTCGTGCGCCAAGTTGAAGCGGTACAGACACTGTACCCGTCCTGCGATGTCCTGATTCAGCACCAGAGTGTAGCCGGAGGCGTCGCCATCCGTACTGTCCCCCGATTCGAGGGCAAGCTAAGCCGCATCGTTGGGCTAGGGCTCCAAGGCTCCTTCACATCGCAGGATCTCTGCAATCTCGAGTCAACTTACGCCGCAATCGGTCTGTATCCGGAAATCCATCTGTGCGAGTACGCAGACCCTTCCGCAGGGCAGATTCTCACTCGTGCCAGGTATTTCTCCAAGGGGAGGCTGAGTGTCTATTGCAGGGACCTGGAGAATTCAGATGAGCCGGTCGTCGCGCGGAAGGGTCACCCTAAGAGGAAGAATATCACGGTCAGGGAGGTGGCTTCGGATGTCGATCGCGAGCACTTCGTTGCTGTTTCCATCGCGGGTTTCGCGGATGGGGGACGCTCGGAGGAGCTGCTGGGCGCCTTAGCGAGGATCGCGGCCCTGAGAGCTGATACGAGACTCTACATCGCGACGACGGACGCCGGAGAAGTGGTCGGCACCGCGGCATTGGCCGTCCTGGGTACGCATACAGCCGGCGAGAGCATTGGGCATTTGTACTTGGATAGTACAGTGCCGCTGTCTCGCGGGATGGGTGCCCATGTGGCACTCATACAGGCGCGTTTGAGGGCTGCCAGAGGCATGGGGTTGAAGCTGGTGACGCTGAGTACAAGGGAAGGCAGTGGAAGCGCCAGAAATGCAGAAAAGACCGGGTTTAGAGTGGCATATCGGAAGGATGTATATGTCAAAGGTTGAGCTGGGCCCACAGCTTCGGGGATTTTGCGCATAGATGGCACTCTCTTAGATAATGGTGAGCTGGGCACGCAGTCCAGTAGGGTTGGGTTAGTTTTATGTGTTCATCTTAAGGTCTTTGCGTTAAGTCTAAATTCATATGATAGAAGTCCGAAAAGTGCGCTTCTTGCACTCGGTATCAAAGTCCACAATGCCATCCAATGGCCATCATTGGTCTCATTGTCTACAGAAATGTCGATGATTGCAGTCAAGTCTCATGAAGTTGATCACTGTCCCCGTGAACGGATCGACTCACTGCACCGTCACCAAAGGTATTCATGCTTGGCAGAGGGTAATGGAGGCGGCAGGCCTCGGTCACCCGCACACTGCTTATCTCAGCGCAGGTTTTGCGGCCATCAACACAAGTCCCTAGAGACTCGAAGGAGATCGCTGCACTTGGCTAGTGTGCGGTTTGGTCTTGGAAAATCCCTGTGACAAGGTATTACCCATGACGCGCTGCTATTCCGGAGCGATGGCCGTGCGGCTCGGCTCTATGTTCCGGCACGGCAGGGCTCTCGACAGATGTCTGTCAATCCCCGCGCGACAGGCATTTGGGAACAAGAAGAGAAAGCTTGGAAAATTTCCCGCTCAAGTAGCCGGTGTACCGTTAGCACTGCTATCGCCGCCAAACGCCTCTAGCCGAGCTTTCTTAGCCCTGCGCTTCATCTCCCGTTTTGATAGTGGCTTTTCAGTCTCCTCGGTTGCTGCCTCAGAGCCAAGCGATGCTTTTCTTTTCAATCCATCGGCTCTGACCTCCGCAGATTCCTTCGGTTTAGATGACGGTCCTGTGGCTTTGGCAGCTGAGTTACTTCCCCCATCAACAATGTCGACGATCCCACGCCAGCTTGTTCGTTTCAATTTGGCCAAGGCGGTCACTTTCCTAGCCTCTTCGCAGACTGCCTCTTTTCCGCGTTCATGCGACAAGCCCCAGACGCAGGCAAGATTGATCACATCCCAAGGAGCCCGCACGCCCAGAGCCTTCCGCGCTTCACTTGAAACGATGATACCTCGGCCACGTGTTGCTCGTATCAGACCCATAGCATTGCCAATTAGATTACGTCGAGCTTCAATACCACTACCCGTAACACCCGGGCCGTAACAGATCTCGAAGCGAATCCCACGCGAGATAGCCGCGGAAACCGTTTTGAATTTGATATGGAACGGTAGGCGGACGGAGAAATCCAGGGAGATGATATCACATTCCAGATTGGTGCACGCGTTAAGTAGGGCTTTCTCATTTGTTGGGCGGAGAGCGACAAGATCATAGGTCTGAGTCAGGCTGGCAAGTCGTTGGTTTTGCGCAGGGTCAGAGAGGGTCAGATTCAGGCGGCTAAGAAGCACCAGATTCCGGGGAGCATCTTTTGGAGCAGATGGGGCAGTCAGGCTTGGAGGCAATTTCCCATTGATCGTTTCCGACAGTGCAACCGTGGTGTAGCCGACTGAGAGTCAGGTCAGCTCTTCATGTGGCTCGTTGAAAAAAATGCGCAGTATGCTGCGCTGGTCTCGTGCCTTTTTGGGGGGAGAGGGACACGCACGTTCTGCAAGGAAGTTCAGAGTATGAACAATTTCGGGATCACCCGGGCTATAGGGCACATTCAGATCGTAAAACATGATTGCGACAAAGTGGCACCCTGAGTTTGAGTCGAAGTCTCACTTTTACCCCGAACGACACGAGTTGTGATCGAAGTTCCATACAATGTGCTTTTGCGAGCTGTCCTAGCATGGGCATCTGAAGATCATACCGCATCAATATTCTGCCGAGGCCGGCAGCTGCCCGAGTCACCCATAGGACAAGCAAGTCTCGTGACCCTGAAGGCGGAGCGAAACGCTCTCGGCCTTTCTGATCAACCACCCATAATATTACTAGTATACTACCCTGTGCTTTGGCTGCTCTGGACGATAGCACGGCTGCGCAATTCAGACGGGTTGTTGGCCTCCTAGTCTCGCGGCTGCTGTTGTCTGTCCTTCCGATTCCTATCCTGTCGCCGCGCCCTGCCCCCATCATCCTTCTTCCCTCGGTCCCCTCCCTACCCCGCCGCATTTTATCATTGCCATCCGACTGTGGGCTGACCTCGAAAGCTGATCGCCCCGTCGCCATCAATCATGGCGCGCGTTTATGCTGATGTCAATGAGCATATGCCCCGGTCCTACTGGGACTATGATAGTGTGAACATCTCCTGGGGTGTTTTGGAGAATTACGAGGTGGTCCGCAAGATCGGTAAGGGCGAAATCACGCTTCAATATTCAACCTCCATCGACGCGGTCATCCCAGCGGGGTTCATCGTGGGAGATGTGGACTGACATTTCCTTTCTTGCAGGACGCGGCAAGTACTCTGAGGTGTTTGAAGGTATCAATGTTGTCAACTACCAGAAGTGTGTCATCAAAGTCCTCAAGCCAGTCAAGAAGAAGAAGATCAAGCGTGAAATCAAGATCCTTCAGAATCTGGCAGGTGGGCCCAATGTGGTAGCTCTGTTAGACGTCGTCCGAGACAGCCAAAGCAAGACACCGAGTCTGGTCTTTGAGAATGTCAATAATACCGACTTCCGGACTCTTTACCCACGATTCTCCGACTACGATGTCCGCTTCTACGTTTACGAACTCTTGAAGGCTCTGGATTTCTGCCACAGCAAGGGTATCATGCACCGGGATGTGAAGCCTCACAATGTCATGATCGATCATGAAAAGCGCAAGGTTAGTGGTCCTGAACGCCTCATATCTATTCTTCTGCTGATGATGCCTAGCTTCGCCTCATCGATTGGGGTCTGGCTGAATTTTATCACAAGGGCACGGAGTATAACGTCCGTGTTGCTTCCAGATACTTCAAGGGTCCTGAGCTACTTGTTGATTTCCAGGAATATGACTACTCTCTGGATATGTGGTCGCTGGGCGCGATGTTTGCATCCATGATTTTCCGCAAGGAGCCCTTCTTTCACGGAAACAGCAATTCTGATCAGCTGGTGAAGATCGCCAAGGTTCTTGGAACCGAAGAGCTCTTTGAATATCTGGACAAGTATGAGATTGAATTGGATCCCCAATATGATGATCTCCTCTCGCGCTTCCCTCGGAAGCCTTGGCACACCTTTGTCAACGCCGAGAACCAGCGCTTCGTCAGCGACGAAGCGATTGACTTTTTGGACAAGCTGCTTCGATACGATCATGCGGTATGCACTCTGCTATGTGAAGTTTGCATGGCGCAAAGCTAATATTATTTGTCTAGGAACGCCTCACTGCTCAAGAAGCGATGGCCCATCCGTATTTTGCTCCCGTTCGGGCTGCTGAGTCCCAGGCTGCACGGAACAACAATACAGCATAGTTCTTAGCATGAAGGTCGAACGCGCCTGATTTAGATCTACCCTGACTTTCTCCCTTTCTACCTGATACTCGCTCTGCCGGTACACCCTACATCAATGGGGTGACAACCTCTCCAGTGCCAAAACTTCATTCTGTGTTCCAGAGAGTTGGTGGAGTCAAATCAGAAGAGTCATGACAGAAGGGCTGTGCAGCTTTGGACTGATACGTTACGCGTGCATGAATTGAAGCGCTGCGGTTGCAATGAGTTGTTGAATTCGGAGACGACGACGATGAACAGATGACATACACCTAATATATCTCTGCTTGATCCTCTTGGTATACCTAGTGAGTGAAATTTGTCGAACGGTGCTTAGAGGAGGGTCACCACTCCTAACGTTATCCTTGCGTAACCTTGCCTACATTCTCCTGCGCCGGTTTACTGCAGTCTTTCACCTTTCTCAGTCGTCCTTGTGGTTAGTTGGACTGGTGTTGATGGGAACCCTGCTTGTTGGTTTGCCTTGGCAAATTTCTTTTCCAATTGTGATCACTCGCCATGCTTCAGCTTCGTTTACCATATGTATGCCAATTCTAGTCTGATACATCATTGAGAGGAGTGTGATCCAGTTTCATGTGTTTGAGATGGTCGACAGTCTACTTGCCTCGTACTGCATTGCTAGGGTGGGAGCCTTGAGTCTGAAGCTTTCCCCAGGGAGAGACCGAGTCTGCACAGAGTAATTGATGTATGCAGCAGTTCTTTTTAGAAAGTATGGCTGCTTCAAACAATCTGTAAGATCTAGTTGACAGGCTACCTAATAGGCTATTGTGATGATTAGATATACTTAACCTCTTCAAGTGATATGACTCACGTCACAAGAAAATAATTCTATCCCTCATCCTCCCGCGAGTGAAACAGGAAAACCAAATTTCCAAGTGCTCAAGTGTTTGATCTAATCAATTTTGAAGAATCATACTGAGTACTAGTATACATACTCATACATACGGTGCGTACATTGCATTGAACTGCCCGATCTCGACTCCACCGCCCGCCAAATTGAATCCACTGAGGTTCCAACTGAAAGCCCCGCCAGTCCCGGCATCCTCTGATTCGTTCCGTTCCTTTGCTCTGAGCCAGGAAATTTAATTGCCCGCATTCGCACAACCACCCTCCCCCTCCCCCTCCTTGTCTTCCTCTTCATCGCCGTGTTTGCGTGAGTCACTCGGTGGTCAAGATACTATTCCGTCAGTTAGTGGCGCGAGTGGCGCCTCGGAGAATTCCTCCTCCCTTCTTGTCTTCACGACCTTTTTCCAGAATGGCCCAACCTTCTGCCCCCCAGAACCCGAGTATGTTGCGGCTATCCGTCTCTGTCCCGCCGTGTCAAGCTTCTAGACTGCTGTTTGGACTGTGGCTGACCATTTGATGGTACTCTAGCTGGTGAGCCTAAAGCTCCCGTCGCCGACATTCCTCCCCAGGCCGACGAACAAATGAGAAACCAAGATGCCGCTGCTGCCTCCAAGCCTGTTGTCGAAGGACAGGACCCATCTGCACCCCCCAAGATGAAGAGCGAGAAGGAATGTACGTACAGCATGACAGTCTCCGCACAATAGGCGATTGCCACCCCCGCCTATCTCGATTGATAATGACTTAATCTCTGGATCGTTGCAGTGGAGCGCGAGCGCCGTAAGGCCGAGAAAGCCAAGAAGTTCGCAGAGAAACAGGCTAAGGCCGCGGCTAAGCCTGCTGCGCCCAAGGCTGAGAAGAAAGCCAAGATTGAGAAGGAGAAGACCACAGACGCCTACGATCCCAAGGTGATCGAGGAAGGTCGCTATGAATGGTGGGAAGAGCGTGGCCTCTTCTTGCCTGAATTTGGCCCTGATGGCAAGGTCAAGCCGGAAGGCTACTTCGTCATTCCAATCCCCCCCCCTAATGTGACAGGTGCTCTTCACATGGGTCACGCTCTCACCAATGCGCTCCAGGATACCATGATCCGCTGGCAGCGTATGAAGGGCAAGACCACCCTGTGGCTGCCAGGTATGGACCATGCTGGTATATCTACCCAGAGCGTGGTTGAGAAGATGCTTTGGAAGCTGGAGAAGAAGACCCGTCATGATCTCGGCCGTGAGGCAATGGTCGAGCGCGTCTGGGCCTGGAAGGATCAGTACCACGCCAACATCAAGAACGCGCTGCGGAGAGTCGGCGGCTCCTTCGACTGGACTCGTGAGGCCTTCACAATGGACCCCAACCTATCTGCAGCTGTCACGGAAACTTTTGTTCGCCTTCACGAAGAGGGTATCATTTACCGTGCCAACCGGCTGGTCAACTGGTGTGTAGCCATGAACACCTCCCTCTCTAACCTTGAGGTTGAGAACAAGGAGGTCGAGGGTCGTACCCTTCTCGATGTTCCCGGCTACGAAAAGAAGGTTGAGTTTGGTGTTTTGACTCACTTCTGCTACGAAATCGATGGAACCGACGAACGGATTCAGATCGCCACTACTCGTCCCGAGACCATGATCGGTGATAGCGGTATCGCTGTGCACCCTGATGATAAGCGCTACCAGCACTTGATCGGCAAGTTCGCCCGCCACCCCTTCGTGGATCGCTTGATGCCTATTGTCGCCGACACGGACGTCGACCCTGAATTCGGTACCGGAGCTGTCAAGATCACCCCGGCTCATGATTTCAACGATTTCAACCGCGGAAAGGCCCATAATCTTGAGTTCATCTCTGTCCTGAACGATGACGGTACCTTCAACAGCAAGGGTGGTCCTTTTGCCGGAATGAAGCGCTTTGACGCCCGCTACAAGGTCATTGAGATGCTCAAAGAGAAGGGACTTTATGTCAAGTGGGAGCACAACCCCATGAAGATTCCTCGCTGCGCTAAGTCCAACGATGTCATTGAGCCTATCCTCAAGCCTCAGTGGTGGATGAAGATGAAGGATCTCGCCGAACCTGCCATCAAGGCAGTTGAAAGCGGTGAAATCATCATCAGACCGGAATCCGCTGAGAAGAGCTATTTCCGCTGGTTGAACAACATCAACGATTGGTGTCTGTCCAGACAGCTTTGGTGGGGTCACCAGGCTCCCGCCTACTTCGTGAAGATTGAAGGCGAGGAAGGTGATGACAGTGACGAGAATCTCTGGGTTACTGGTCGCACGGAAGAGGCGGCTCGGGAGAAGGCGGCGGCTAAATTCCCCGGTAAGAGCTTCACTTTGGTGAGAGATCCCGATGTTCTTGACACTTGGTTCTCCTCCGGATTATGGCCGTTCTCTACCCTGGGCTGGCCCCGTCAGACACATGATCTGGAGCATTTGTACCCGACCTCCGTTTTGGAGACCGGCTGGGATATTCTCTTCTTCTGGGTGGCTCGAATGATCATGCTGGGTCTTAAGATGACCGGCAAGGTCCCTTTCAAGGAGGTGTACTGCCACTCCCTGATCAGAGATTCCGAGGGTCGCAAGATGTCCAAGTCTCTGGGCAATGTCATTGATCCTCTCGACGTCATGGAAGGTATCAAGCTGGATGATCTTCATGCCAAATTGCTCACTGGCAACCTTGCCGACAAAGAGGTGGCCACTGCTACCAAGTACCAGAAGAAGGCCTTCCCCAAGGGTATTCCTGAGTGCGGTGCTGATGCCCTGCGTTTTGCCCTTGTGTCCTACACTACTGGCGGTAAGTAAAACCTCCCAACAATGGATTCCACTCTGTCCAGCCTATTGTCTTCTATACTGACGGTGCCATATCAGGTGGTGATATTGCCTTCGACATCCAGGTCATCCATGGTTATCGTCGATTCTGTAACAAGATCTACCAAGCCACGAAGTTTGTGCTTGGCAAGTTGGGCGATGACTTCAAGCCTCGGCCGACCCCTACAAAGACTGGCAAGGAGTCCCTTGCGGAACGCTGGATCTTGCACAAGTTTAACGCTGCTGCTAAGGAGATGAATGAGGCTCTTGAGCAGCGTGAATTCTCTGCTTCGGCATCCATTGCTTACCAATACTGGTACGGCCAACTTTGTGACGTTTTCATTGAAAATTCCAAGTTCCTGCTTGCGCCCGAAGTCCCGGCTGAAGTGCAGCAGTCGGCCAAGGAGACGCTCTACACCGCTCTTGAGGGGGCCTTGACTTTGATCCACCCAATGATGCCCTTCGTCACTGAGCACCTGTGGCAGCGCCTGCCTCGTCGTCCCGAAGATAGCACAATTTCGATCATGAAGGCCAAGTACCCCGAATATAGACCTGAATTCGAGGATCCCGAGGCTGAGACTGCCTATGAGCTGATTTTGAATGCCTCGAAGTCTATTCGGTCGATCCTCGCCCAGTATGAGATCAAGACCAAGGGCGACATCATCATCCAGACCTACGATGCCACCAGCTACAAGACCGTCTCGGATGAGCTTACTAGCATCAAGTCCCTGGGTGGCAAGACCCTGGGCGAGCTTAGTGTGCTCGGCCCGGAGAATACCAACCCCCCTTCAGGCTGTGTGGTCGCTCCTGTGAGCTCTGAAGCAGCTGTCTATCTCCGTGTTTCCAGGGAAGTTGCCTTGGAGCAGGAAGAAAAGGCCAAGGCTAGTCTGGAGAAGGCACGCGAGACAGTGCGTCGCCAGCAGAAGCTCATCAGCGGTGCTGGATGGCAGGAGAAAGCTAAGCCTGAAGTGCGCGAGGCTGAAGAAAAGAAACTGCGTGATGCTGAGAGTGAAATGACTCGTCTAGAGGAACAGATCCGTGAGTTTGAGAAGCTGCGGCTAGAGTAGATCTCGCGGCCTGAAACTATTTATATCAGATATTTTTGTACTGGCCAATGTGATGTTTCACTCAGATTTTAGTATGACCAATAATTACTGCTCGTAGATCAAGACTCGTGTAGTAAATGAAAAATCTTATAGTAACACATTATTACGTTGGGGAAGGTGTGTATGTACGGAGACTCATGGCATTAAGCTTATCGATAAGCGGCGCCAAGACCCTTTCCGCCAAAACTTTTCACTCCGCCTTTTTCTTTTCGTTTTCACGAGCCCGATCAGTGACCCCATATCACGTTAAACCAGGTTTTTTGGTGCTCAGAATCGGTCAAGATGCTCAGAGAAGTGTAAGTCATAGAATCACTTCCTTCCGACTACGTTTGGCATTGTTCAAGTCACCATGCTTACAATAAAATCTCTATCGCTTCAGAAAACCGAAGAATGCGCGCACAGCGCGCATCCTGAAGGCCAAAGAACCTCAGCTCATCGAACCCCCCAAGCGCACGCTGTTGCTGCATGGCTCAAAATGTCCGCAAGCTTTACACACTGTTCTGAAGACCTTCCATTCCTTGACAAGACCGGATTCAGTACTATTTCACAAGAAGAACGAGAACATTCACCCGTTTGAGAGCGTCGAAAGTCTCGAATTTCTGGCCAACAAAAACGAATGTGGTCTTGTGGTGTTCGGTAGCAGCAACAAGAAACGACCCAACTGTATCACTATGGCACGTGTTTTCGATTCCAAGATCCTTGACATGTGCGAATTGATGCTACTGCCGCACCCCGACGCTGAGCAACATACTGATCTGGCTATGCATATCGGCATCGGATTGCGGCCCATGATCCTCTTCTCAGGCAGTGCTTGGGAAGACTCAACCTCAATGGCACATGTCATGCTGAAGAGTATGTTCCTGGACCTGTTCAAGGGTGAGACGAGTGACAAGATTGACGTGGAGGGGCTCCAATATATTTTGATGATCGGTGCTGAGGAGCCCACTGAAGGGTTGGCTCCTGTTGTTCACTTGCGGTGGTATAAGCTCCGGACGAAGCGTAGTGGCCACAAGCTCCCGCGGGTGGAGCTGGAGGAGATTGGGCCCAAGTTCGACTTCAAGGTTGGACGTCTGCAGGAGGCCCCTCGGGACGCGATGAAGGAGGCTATGAAGCAAGGCAAGAGGCCCAACGAGGAGATCAAGATGAAGAAGAACATCAGCATGGATTCGATTGGTGACAAGATCGGTCGTGTTCACCTGGGCAAGCAGGATCTCAGCGGCTTGCAGACTCGGAAAATGAAGGGATTGAAGCGCCGTGCAGGTGTGGAGTCGGATGACGATGAGGATCAGGACATGATGGACGTGTATGAGATCTCGGAGGATGAAGGACGCAAGAGAGCTAAGACGGCATGAAGCTCGTGTTGAAATGCATTGTCATGCAATTTGATTCTTTCCGAATAATTATATCTATCTAAACTGCGCACGAGGCGTTTCTGGGGGTTCGGTTTTCAGCACCTAGCTCATATTTGAACCTGTTCGATACGTGTTTGTTACATAGACGTTTGCAAATAAAAAAGTTCTATCAGTCCCAACCCTGCTTTCTTGAATTTGAATTATCAAGTTGCTCTCGTGCAAATGTAAAAGTAGGGGCTGGATTCTGCCCACGTGACCATGACGTTGCGCTCGGCTCGTCTCTCACATGCCGAGGATCTCGTCTCTGGCCTCGCGGATCATCACAGCTCCCATAAATGCCGTACTCCCCCACTTTGCCCCGAACTGGTACTTTAGATGTTGTCTGAGTTTGGCGCAGCTTTCTTTGTTGCTTGTGAACCTTGGAGTCTCCATGAATTGCAGTTTCCCTATTGAATCTTGCCGGAGGAAGCAAGACTGATCGCTTCACTAAATTCATTTACTTTGCCGAGGTTCTTGGAACAAGCACGATGGATGCTCTCACAGTAAGGTCGCACTCTGTCGAACCCAACACCACGCAGGATTTACGTTGTTCTAACCACTTTGTAGGCCTCGTTGGATGCTCTGGTCACTAATCCTGAGCTTGCGCCGCTTCTGTCCCTCCTCAAGGGCATTCGCAATGGCGCTGTCTATGGGGCCAAGGTCCGCTTTCCGCATGCTCTGGTGTATGTTCCCTCGGAATCCAGATATTTGGGCCCCTCTATTGTAAAGAGTCAGGCTGACTCGATGTGCTCGTCGCCCATAGGATGATCTTGCTTTTTCGCTCAGGGACGTATGGCAATCCAGTCTTTCTCTCAAGAAACATAGATCAATCATGCTGATCATGACACAGCTTCCGTGAGAAAGTCAAGCTTGTCTTTAAAGCCACGCGCCAACATGCTCGGAACCTTGCCACCTTTGCGCTGATCTACAAGGGCTCAATGATCTTGCTGCGTAATATTAATCCGGTTGCTGTTGGCAAAGAAGGACGATACGATAGCTTTTTTGCTGGCTTGGTAGGAGGCTATGCAGTCTTTGGTCGGCATAAAACGAGTATCACTCAACAGGTAAATCGCTGGGTACTCAAACACCTCGATCGTCCACTGACAATTCTGCGAGATTGTGATCTATATCTTCGCTCGTGTGGTACTTGCGTTAGCCAAACTTGCCATTCGTCCAGATATGCACCCGCTCTCCTCTCTCATCACTCCGCAAACGCGAAGTCAGATGGAAAGCCATGCCTGGCCGGTCTTTGCCAGCTTATCCTGGGCACTTGTTATGTACATCTTCCGTTGGCATCCAGATACATTGATGTCAAGTCTGCGGAGTAGCATGGTGTACATGTATGCTCTGACTCTTGCTCTCTCGCCTGCCTTGTGTGACGCTAATAATTAACCTAGTTACGCGGATTCCGATCACTGGGACTCGTTCCGCAATTTTTTAATACACAACAAATGATCTCAGCGATGCTATCTGCATCTTCCCCAACCTCAGGCCAACCTCCAACGGCTGGGCTATATCACATGGTGGCATATAGATACGGTGCGTTCGGGATGCTCTTACTCTCTGCACTATATATCCCCTATATTCTTTGGTTTATTGGTATTGAACTGGCAGGGGCCGCACGGCGGCTGTACCTTTGATGCCCTACCGCAGGCGGTTTAAGGGGTCAAGCAAACAATAGAATCTGGACGGTACATACACTTGAGTCTGCTGCATCCAGAGATGTACTTCGGCCATCGAAGTAATCTGCTCAGTAATATGCTTGCCAGCATGTGTGGTGGTAGAGTTCGATGATAAACTTCCATGCGGGACAACCCAGAAGGTTGGCAAAATGAACCATCAGCTTCGTGAATACCGTGATCTCTCCATCTTGACACCTTTGGCCACGATACGTATGTAGCTGAGATTTGTGTCTTACTTTCCTATCAGGTCAGGACTCATTATGGCCGTAACCATCCACCGGCTTGAGAGAGCCATTCTGATGATACCTCGGAGCCCGGCCATAGCCTAGCCTTGTAATTGCCAGGTTATCTGTAGAGTGAGCAGTTTTCAGGGACAGGGCCTGCGACGAGAGTTTGTCGTTCTTTTTATGTCAAGGCGGGAAGCATGAGTCCGGTTAACCCATAAGTGATGGCACACAGAGGACCTACGGACGATAGTGCCCGAAACCTTTGAGGTAGTATTGTTGCCATGGAGTTGATGGGTTGTGGTCCAGACGAGTCCTTCACGCCATCGAAGTAGACCTTTTATACGAGGCAAGTCCCCAAGCTCTCGTTCAGGAGCTTCAAGGTCAAATTGTATTGCTGCCAGGCGTCCTCCTTGAGTTTAGGATCATGGGGCTCGACCCCTAAGCCTTTGATACTAGGTAGGGTCAGAGACAACATTCCAATCTCATACCGAAATGAGTGCAAACTCACGTTCGGAGCTCTCGCCTTATTTGGGGATTTTGCCAGTATTTCATGATCATCATGTTCTTCACAATCTTGTGTTCCAGACCTGCGGCTTCCGCTGCTCTCTGGAGGAATTGAATAGTATTGGCGACACGTTTTTGGTCCAGGCTCTCTGGAGGTGACGATCGGAAGGAGGAGCGTAGAGTATGCAGAAGGACGTATCGAGCTGGAGTCGAATAATTTACGGCTTTCAGCCCGTGACGATACAACTGGCGGTAGGTATCGACAACAACTTGTGAGTCTCTCAGAGACTTTAAGGGTTGCACTGGAGAGACCATCTTGCTCGAATAAGGTGTTTGGTGTCGCGTACCGGCGTAGGAAGTAGAGCATGCCAATGTACAGAGTAGAGTACAGAGTACAGTACCTAGTACACTCTTGATAACTATCAAATGCTGCAAGCCGCGGGCGGCGGCGGCGGCGGGATACGACCGGCATTATTGTCAGCACCGCACCGCGCGCGTTAGGCTGCAAATGGTTTAAGTTGGGTCGGGCTTCTTTAGCTTCCCTTCCACCCTCCCATCTTGCCTGCGTGCTCCGCCTGGCTTGCTTGCTCCCTCGCTCCATCATACTACCTGCCCCCGACCGATTCCATGCGGACTTCGATCAAGCTGTTTATCATTTCTCCCACCGTGCTTCTCATTCTTTTCTAGCAGCGAGGGTCAACCAAAGGAACAAAGTGTTTCGCGCCTACCGGACCTCTCTCTTCGAGCTGGCCTGTGATTAATGCTGCGGAGTACCAGTGCGCGCGCCTTGTTGTGTAGACGTATGTGATTTGACTAACTGGTCTCACCACATCATCCCCTTTTTTGGGACAACAGAAATCTATCACATTCTGGACTTCCTCCGTGTGATAATAATCATTTCAGCGCTGGGCTATCTACCAATGCAGTGTATACCTGGACAAACTGAAGTCGGTTTAATAAAATGAAGGACTGTCTTCTGTAGACACATGAGAAGACCTCTCTCTTAACACCATGGTCCGAGTTACGCGGAGAGCCACCTCGGTCTTCGCCAGACGTGCGCCAAGCAGAAATGTCAAGAAGACGGCACGCAAACATAAAGTGATTCTGGAATCTGTTACGCAGGAGAAGAAGAAACTTCGCAGTGTCGTATGTTCTTTCGCCTTGCTCATATCTCTCGGGGCAATCTTGACACAAACAATCTAGATATCTTTCGAAGCAAAAGCTCCTCCTGGTTATACCTTCATTCCTGCAGGCAACCCTCAGCTTACAACTGCGTGTAAGGAAGTCTGTCGGAAGGACAGTTTGAAGGTGTTTGCTGTTTCGGTATGCCCGGCAGCCATCTCCTTTACTCAACTTTCTCGTTTCCCACGGCCCGGCTTCTTTTTACTAATCTTGGGTCATAGACAACACCGCATATGCACACACACAACCTATCCCAGCATGTTCACCGGATAGGTTATCACTTTCCCAGCGCGGTTGTCGCAACAGTCTGTATGGACCTGGGACTCCACCTTACAACAGCAGGGAAAACAATGCAATTTCCGACTTCTGCCATTACCAAATCCCGCAAACGTGCTAATTCAGAAGCTTCTCAGACGACAATCAACACCGAAGCGAGGGATGTAATCAAGGATCTCTTCCCTAGTATTCCAGACAATGACCTGAATCAAATCATAAAAACTGCTTTCCAGAAGGTAGGTTGATAACATTCGCAAACAGACCTTTGAACCCACAACAGGACCGCAAAAAGTGTTGGACACAAGATACTGAAACTATTTCCAGGGTCAGCGCAAAGTAGGCACAGCAGTTGAGTTACCCCTGGCCCGCCGCGCTCAGCTCGCAGTTGTGGCCCACATACGTCACGTTTACACGGAATACGATCGTTTGTTGAAAGCAACATCCTTCCACGAGGCGAGAAGCACGGTTGAAGAGCCTACCTTGGCCAAGTTGGTCGAATGGCGGGGTGATGATGAGAATGGAAAGATCGTCCTTGAGGACGTTTTCCGTGAGGTCATTGTGATATCTGATGACGAAGACAGTGACACTGAGGAGGAGCTAATACAGCCCTTCGACCGTGACCAAAGTGTGGTGGTTGTCTCTAGCAACCCGCGTGCTGAAGAACTACAGACAAACCCGGTCACTTATGCCGGCTCTAGCTTACGAGACACCCAGCTGGATATATCAGACGAGGAAGCACCGCCCGGATTTCGTTTTGTCCCGGAAATTCCTAAGAATAACAAGCTTGATCGTCGTGGATTCAGCCGATACCAAGCATGGGACCGTGCCATTAACAGATATAGAAACATAGCGGAAGGGGATAATCCACGCAGACCGCCTGGTAACTCACCTCGACTTCGACGACCATTGGTCGCTCGACGGCCCTTGCAAGATACGGCCGACTCTGGCTCAGACTCACTCTTCTTCCCTCTCGAGGATAGGCGCACATTCTCTGTTCCATCCCAGGTTACAACTAATGTGGAGACACTCAGCACTGCACCGAAGAGGGCATACGCAAATCCTGCAATGGAGCATCAAGTGAGTTTGCCCCTGACAATCCCAATCCCGCAAATCATTTTCTCGGGACGACTTTTTGTAGACTTCATGCTAACAATAACGAGCCGTATGCATTGCTTCATGCAATTGAAAGACCGTACCAGGTAAAGACATTTTCATCACAGCTCAGTGGGCTTCCCTTGGAGCGAGTGCGCCCTTCTCATGGAGAAAGCCGGATTATCCCTCGCACGGAGTCACCAAACGGCCCTATTTTTGTGAGTAGCCATAGAAACGTATCCGGACACCCAGTTGGACAGCAGCAGAAACCTCTGGAACATGGCCACAGCAGGACAATCTCCCACCCTGAGGATCACGCCTTGCCTTCTATAGAGAACCCCTTTCCCGCGGAAATAGGACGATCCAATTGTGGCCCCGTGGAGAACCTTGCCACGAGGATGTCCGGAGGGTTCGCAATCCGCTCTGTAACTCCCGCTCATCTACCTCCCCAGCACGTTCTCCGTCGAGATATTGATGAGACTACACAATATCAGACAGCAAAGCGCAGACGAACTGCATTCTATTATCAGCCGATACAAACAGAAAATATCCGCCCTAGTCTTCCTTCTGCTCCTGTGAGAAGTGCTCGTCTAGGGGAACAGTTGGCTTCCTCTGCATATGTTCCTCCGGCACGACTTCCAGTTCAAGAAGACCCTTCTGTCCGTAGGCATTATGCAGCCCCATTTGGATATGTCCATACTACTGATCGTCAGCCCGAGAAACACCCATATCCATCCTATACCACCCGTGTTAGGCTTGGGGATGAGGTTTTCCCGTATCAAATGTCTCGCAAGCATGATAATGCCACATTTGATATACTTGACCGTGAGAGACCCACTCATTACAGGCCTCCCGTTGAACCTCGTGTCGTGCCAACCTTACGGTATGCATTTGTCGAGGATAGAAGCAAGGGAGGGCTGATACCCGTTCAAGCCGTTGGCATGGTGAGAAATAATCATGATTCGCAGGTGCCCAAGCACGATGATGATTGCTTGAGGCTACCCGAGGTGGAACCGATACAATCAACTACATGGAGTGGCAGAAATCAGGGATATGCTCTTGCTCCACAAGAGCAACCTCAGAGAAAAGGTCATTATGCCGATGACTTTGTTCGTGCCATTGACCTGAGTAATTCTGATCCATTGGATTATCCACTGGAGCGTCGTCTTCAGACAAACTACACCCGTCCCGGCCCGGATAGGGTTGATCTTGTCTACGGTAGTCAACAAGTCAATCAGCAGGCTGGACCGGAATCAAGACCCCTTCCGGACCGCACCCATGCGGATCCATGGTCAAGATCCGCTATCCAGAGGTATGGCGTAGTGGATGACGCGAGTCAGCGCTATCATGAGACGCATGATACCTCAAAAGCCGCAACCCGTTACACTGACAGACATTACGGGGAGGTATCGGTGCTTTCACGGTATGGATAGTGAATATGAATCGCCTGGCTTCATCACAGCCTCTCAGTCGTCACAAGCTAACTGACACTTGTAGCAGGGAACTACTCGAGCCTCCACGCTACGGCCCACATACCAATGAACCATCGTGTCCTACTTATGTAAGAGAGTCTGAACGTCCTCGTCCTCCGGTTTCAGAGGGCAGAACCATCGTTACCGTGGATTGATATTGTTGCTCATATGAGGGGTCGGTGTCAATTTTGTTCATTCCGGTCGCAGTGTAAATGTCTATGGTGATGTACAGTACATACATACTTTACAAGTGGAGCGTACATGATACCCAATGCTGTAACACATGAAGCTATGAGCCAAGAAAGATACTATCCTCCTCAATGCTATCAGTGTAGAAGACAATATTTGAACAAAAGGCTTGTTCCAGATCTCCACGAAAGGTAATTTGAACATGCGTGATGGAGGACATATATATCGTTTTCCAGAAGTAAGGGTAAATATGAAAATCACTCAGTACAGCTCCTATTAGATCCATCCTCGACAATCGCACCCAATTCATCAACCACCAATTGTCTTCTTCACGCCCGAGACATTCAAACACTCTGGGGTTGCCCATCCGCACTCCCACCGGTAACTGTCTTTCCAGTTTTCTTGATCGTCGCCAACACAGTCTCATATGACACGGAGGAGTCGGTCACAACCGTTGCAGTTTGCGATTCCAGGCTCACATCGAAGGACTTGACCCCTAAAGATTCCCTCCAAGTTAATGAATTGCGAGGGGGAGAAGCACATTATTTCGGGCGGGATTTTCCAAGAGACAAAAAACAACCCCAAACCAGACCAGGCCAGACCAAATTATTGGAAAATGGTATTTTGGGTGGGCAAATAGACATACCATCAAGCTTCTTAAGGACTCGTTCCACGGCTCCGGAGCAACCACCGCAGCTCATGGTGACGTCGAATTTGTACTGGTGGTCGGACATGTTGACAGGTGGAGGGAGGGGGAGGGAACGCTATCGCGAATGGCAAGAAGGAAAGAGTGGCGGTCAGAGTTTCTAGTTTTTGGTTCTCTTTTTTTTTTCTTTTCTTTCTGTATTCTTCGGTCTACAGAAGAGAATCAGCGGAAGATCTCAGCTTGTCGAGATCTGTGTGTCTGAGTTAGTCTCGAGGGAAGAGGGGGAGGGGGGACCGGAATTTGCGACGGGCTGTCTGTCAATAATGATAAAGAATGATGGCGGGGCTAAAGGCTGGAGACGCAAGGGAGGGAGGGGGTTCAACGCCTGGTGGGGCAAAACACAAAATAATTGCTAGCTATGGGATAATTGTACCTAAAACTTGCTCCAAGTTGACAGCTCACTGGGTAGAAAATAGTCGGAAAGGGGGAAAGAGAGGGAGAGAAGAGTTGTCTTACCCTCGATTTTTCTTTTGCTTTTG